TCTCATAACTAGGATGTTCTACACCCTTTGCAACATAAAAAAACCTATTGATAAATTACTATATTTTTTCCTAAAAATATTTGTGTAATGTACATACAGTAAAGGAGGTATGAGCAAAATTTCACAAATCATAAGTCAGTCTTGTAACTGCAAATGTACTACAACCTACAAAAAAACTTTGTGTACAGTACATTTTATGAAAATAATTTTGTACTTTACATAGGCCTATATGACGAGAGATACTGCCAAAATCTCACATGTCAGTATCTAGGAACATACTACAACCTTTGGAACTTGAAAAAAACCTATTGGTAAATTACTGTAATTTTTTCATAAAAATTTTTGAGCACTGTACGTACAGTATGGGAGATACTGGCAAACTCATAAGTTTGTAACTAGGTACATACTACAACCTTTGGAACATAAAAAAAACTTAGAATAAGATGACAGTTAGGACGACAGAACAAGATGACAGAACAAAACGACAATAAGGACAACAGTAATTAAACGACAGAGAAAAAGCAAGCAGGATGACAGATTAAGATGACGTCAACAGACAACATACATGCCTACATATACTGATTTACCTGAACAAGTAGGCAATGACTGTAGACAAAGACAAATGTATAGTACAAAGCACAAAGCACAAAGCAGTCGACTAATTTTTGACACAAATGTAACCTCATAATAAGCACAAAGCAGTCGACTCATTTTTGACACAAATGGAACCTCATAGCGAACAACTCACGAATAGCGCCACCTCAACGTCACAGTTGACGTTACGTAATGTGGGAAAAGTTAATTTGTAAGTTTTGCGACCTGTCATTACATTGCTTAAGACTGTTCTTGCAAGAGAGAAGATAAGGACGTGTTTAGGACAATGTCGATATCTTTTTGAAGGTAACAAGACAAAAAAGTTTGGTGAGTGAAACTGTCCTAAATAAAAATGACCTGTTAAAGTATACACTGAATGCAATAATGCAATTCTGCCAAATGTATAAATGTAAAATATGGATTAATTCCAGCTTGGCATTACATGCAATGCATTACCTATTAAGTTATATACTACATTTTTAAAAGCTCACAAGGATTCAACTAATAACAACTCAAGCTCTCTAAAATTTCAAGCTCTCTAACCTCATTGTTCATGCTAACTTTGTAATTGTGTCCATATGGGATTTTTATGGACATTAGACTTAAAAAACAAACTATGCAAACATATGGCAGCATTATGTATTCACTGGTGGATGATTCAAAATACACAGCTTTGTATTGAAATTGTGCTCCAAACAGTTTGCATCCTTACAATATTTAATAAAAACCCTGCATTCATATTTACACTTGCATTTAATTAGCAGACATGAGGGTGCATCATTGGAGCGGGGGTCATCGGCCTCTCCACTGCTCAGAGCATCTACCAGCACTTCCACGACAGGATCACCCCTCTCAGCATAGAGGTGTATGCTGATGTCTTCACTCCACTCACCACCAGCGACAGGGCAGCTGGACTCTGGCAGCCGTATCTCTATGACAAGGGGAATGTGCAAGAAACGTGAGCTTTTATTTGTGTGGAAGCATCTGAATCTAATAGTGTCAGTGAATCAGTTGAAGCACATCCTCATGTGTCTCAATTATCCTGAAGAACCCAGGATGCTCTATATTCTATAGCCGCAAGAAAGATGTTTTATTTCCTTTTTCTCAGTAAATGGAACAAAGAGACATTTGACCATCTACTAAGTTGCCTCAGCTCTCCAGATTCAGTGAGAATGGGAATCTTCCTCCAGTCTGGTTACAATCTGTGCACTGAACCCCTGCCGGTGAGAACATTAGCTTTCCATTGCATATAATGTTATCATCTACAGAGTGGTGTATAATAAACTGCAAGTTCTGACACATAGTGCATACTGTAGTATATAGTCAGGTAAATGATTTCACAATTTGGTCACTGCCTATGGGCCCTTATCTATAGAATGAAGCATTCTTCTACACTGAATGATGTTCTTGTACTCCACCAGTCCAGTGCAGGGCATGTTTGAAATTGCCAGAACAGATAATAATGAACTTTATTGTATAGCTAAACAAAAAAAGAACTGGTCAGAATCAAAAGACCTGAACGTCCACTTTAAACTGCAGAGGCCCCGCTCTCTGGCATGAGTTAAAACCAGTATAAAATTAGAGTGAAAATAACTGAACTTTCTCACTGATCCAGGAGAGAGAATTGTGAAAATGACTGCAATCTCTCTGCTCCCCTCAAACAGAACCCCTCATTTAAAGATACCGTGTTGGGCTTTCGCCAGCTGACTAAACGTGAACTAGACATGTTCCCAGGATACAGGTACTTATCACCTGCATCTCATCATAAGTTATTTCTTTCTTTTTTTTTTGATGCTGAAGACTTTTTTCAGATTTTCAATTTTCAGAATCAATTTTGTTTTACCCTTTGGGGATTGTAGTAATTATTTAGATTTTGAATCAAATTGAATGAATTTAAATGTATTTGATAATGAAATGGATTTGTAAATGTAGTGTTGTGTCACTTTTCCTTTTACCTTTATCTTTTCAGTTTTGGGTGGTTCAACACTGCTCTGATGATTGAAGGAAAGACATACCTGCCCTGGCTTATGGACTGGTGAGAGATTCCTGTTATCTAATCAGTAACCAAAATTAGAATTGGAATGAAATAGAATATACAGTGGAGTTCAAAAGTCCACAATGATATCTGAAATTCAAAATGTAATTTAAGCTTGGAAATTGTTAAATTTTACAAATAAGCATTTTAACTTAAATTGAATATGTAATATTTCCGATTTCTAGGCTTATGTATATGTGTCTACACATCTTATACCTGCATGTGTGTGTGTGTGTGTGTGTGTTGAATTTTTACCTGAATGTTTTTATTCTTTTGTTTTGCTGTATATGCATCAGAATAACCATTGTGCTTTTATATAGTTATGTGAAATCTGTTGTGAATGTGTTACTCATTTACAGTATGAATCTTTTCTGGTCTAACAATGATTAACAGTATCTTTGACACCTTGGTCACGTTTCTGTGTTTTCTGCAGGTTAAGACAAAGAAAGGTCAGGTTTTATCAGAGGAAGATTGGTTCATTTAAAGAGGTTTGAGCAATTCCTTTCTCATTTTCATTTATCTTTTTAAATTAAAAGTTCAGTAGTATCTTCATTCAGTGGAGAACATTCAAATAATCTAAAACGTATTAAATTGATCACATTATACTGAACATATTAAAGTGACAGTTGAAATGACAAATCAGCATATTAGAGTGATTTCTGAAGGATCATGTGACACTGAAGACTGGTTGAAAATTCAGCTTTGTCATCACAGGAATAAATGACATTTTAACATATATTTAAACAGTTATTAAAATATATAAAAACTGTTATTTTGTAATAATATTACAATAATAATATTGTTATAATAGTTCACAGTATTACTGCTTTTACTGTATTTTAAATCAAATAAATGCAGCCTTTGTGAGCATAAGAGACTTGAACATTAAAAGTCTTAGCTAACCCAAACTTTTGAACAGTAGTGTACGTTAACTTTATTGTTAAAATAATTAAGAAAAGTGTAGCATCTGGTTAACTAATACTATTTTTAACATAAGCAGATTCACTAATTTAATTAAATTAATGTTGAGATTCTGCTTGCCTCATCTATGCTGTTAATTTTAATCATAAAGTGTGTATTTGTAATGACCTCAAAAATGGGCTCCAGCTTGCAGATAGTGGTGCTGATGTTATCATCAACTGCTCCGGTGTCCGATCAGGAGACCTTCAGCCAGGCAGAGGACAGATCATTAAGGTCAGGTTTAGTGGATAAAAGTCGATCAGGCATAAACCTTTAACAATGAACTGTTTTGATCTCATGCTTTTTATATCAACAGGTAGACGCTCCCTGGTTGAAACACTGGATACTCACACATGATTCCTCATCAGGAGTTTATAACTCACCGTACATCATTCCTGGGTAAGCCTCTTTATGATGACACTGTACTGTTTTTCCAGTAATTGAAATAAAGCTGAAATAAAATAAAATATAAATAGTAGAGAAAAAACTTAAATTGGCAACTAACTGAAACAAAATCATTTAAAGTGCAAAATGACTAATAATAAAAATAAATTGAAGCTAAATAGAAATATAAACAAATAAAAACGACAAAGGCACATAATATTGCTGAAACTAAAATTAAAAAGAAAACTGAAAATATAAAATAAAAGCTAAATTAAAATATTAATAAATACTATGATAGTATGTAATACTAAAATAACACTTAATAACACAACCATTGTCGTGTTTATAATGAGGTGCAATGTAGTCTTGTCTTAGCAGTGATGTACATTACCTCAGGTAATTTTGTGTCTGCAGGAGTCGTTTAGTCACTGTGGGTGGAGTTTTCCAAGTAGGAAACTGGAATCTGCAGAACAGTTCTGTTGACCATAAAGGAATCTGGGAAGCCGCCTGCAAGCTTGAGCCCAGTCTACAGGTAGTTTCAGCCATTTAGCCTTAATTAAATTAGTGTTTGTTCGAGTAGCATGAGTGGATTCGATCTCTTTTTTTTTCCCTCTCTAGCATGCACGGATAGTAGAGGACTGGACTGGTCTCAGGCCCGCACGCAGCAAAGTTAGATTAGAGAGAGAGACCATACGGTCTGGACCAACCTCGTTTGAGGTGAGCTCATAGAATGATCATTACACTGAAGATCTGATGCCATCTTTCAATGAAGAAAGACTGCCATAAATAGCCAAGATGAAGTATGATTAATACAGAGCCCCTAAATGGACATGCTATTGGAAAAAATTAGATGTGAGGAAAAAATATTACAGTGCTTTTGCCTTTGCTTGCAAAACTTTTGCTTTCCCCCAGGAACCATTGCATTCACTTGCATAACTGGTGATAAAATTATATGAAATGGGAGAAAAAAACTATTTTAAAATTGTAATGCTTTTGCGAGTTTCTCGGGGGAGAGAATAGAAAGTTAGTACAAAAGTTAAGGCAAAAGCAATGCGATAAAATTTGTAACCTATTTAGCTTTAATTTATTTGTATCTTTATTTTTATTTCAGTTTTAGTATTAGTAATTTTAGAACTTCAACTTATTTTCAGGTAATTTCTTTAAGTTTGTTAAAGGTGCAATAGGTGATTGTCTTCAGAAAATTTTTTTTGTTATGCTGGTTGAAAGTCTCTTCACATCCCGATAGCAATCATTAAGTGGTCTAAATGTATTTATCTGTATTTATATATTCTGTGGAAGGCGTAGGACCAAGAAATGTTCGTCCAATCAAAACGCTCGGTCCGAGCGTTTTAATTGGCTTTCCTACCTGCCTGTCAACGTATGTATCTGCATACCTCTGCGCACCCGGTTCACGTTGACAGGATACGTCATCAGCGCGTTCACACACGCTGTGCAGACAGAGCGAGAATGGCAGACAAACATCAACAACCCGATCTTCCTTCCTGGTATTGCAGTACTTTTAAAGTTTTCTCACCAGTGAATGACACATTATGTAGGCAGCCCAGCGGTTCCCAATTCCAGTCCTCGCGATTCAGATAACCAGGTCATTAGAAGTGAGCTATGTGCATGAACTGTGATCCGATCCATATGATCCCTACACAGTGTTCATTGCTCCCTCCTCCCTGAGCAGGGGAAATCCGTTGAAGTTTACTTCACTTCGGAACATGGGCTGTAATTGGGAACCGCTGATGTAGCCTATTGTAGTAATGTTGTCTCTGGTATTCTGGTCTGTGAACGTATATGCGTTCAGGGGGCGTGGCTTTGGACGGCGATTGCAGGGAGGGTGGGACATTCGCTTTCAGTGCTATCAGGCTAAAGTTAGCATTTTCCAAGATCTCCTACTGCACCTTTAAGTTTAGAACCCCAAGGACCATTGAATTCGCTTGCAAAACTTTAGCATTTGCTCACAAAACTGGTAATGGAAATAATATGAGATGGGAGGCAAAAAAATATATTAATGCTTTGCAAGTATTGATTCTGATTCTGTAAACACTCATCCTATTTATGATGTACTGACACCAACTCATGAAAAAGACAGCTTCTAATGCTCAAGATTTCTAAGCAAACGCAAACGTTTTTCGAGTGTATGCATAAGCATTTCAGTATCATATTCCCTTCCATCTCATATTTTTTCCATCATCATGTCCCTTTAGGGCTCCGTAGATTCATGATTCTTTTTTAACACACCATGCTGTTTTCATTCACCTCAGGTCATTCATAACTACGGACATGGAGGTTTTGGACTGACCATCCATCGTGGATGTGCTGAGGAAGCTGCTCGTCTCTTTGGTCAGATCCTGGAGCAGAAAGGCCTGCTAGCACACTCTAAATCACGTCTCTAATAGATCTGGGCCTCTGGATGTTATATACAGTATCAATTTTATTCTCGCTAATCTAATAACCATTGTCATACTGATTCCAAGAGAAAATGAATCTCCAGAACTGAATACATTTGTCTACATTTATCTCCACTAATCTATAATAAATATACATACACTCACTTTCTTTTTCTTGAAGCATAATTTATTGTTATCATACATGTACATCCAGTGCAGTGGCAAGAGATCTGTGCACACAGACACAAAACACGGCACTAAATCGCAAAAGACAGGCAACTCTCTGCACTCACAGGAACAACTGCACGCTTCCCATCATGCCACACACATACCCACTGTACAGTTGAAAAGGCAGAAATACAAATAACCGAATATAGCATTGAGCGATTGTGCTGATAAAAACAAAGATTGTTGCTAAATGTTCAAGTTGTGTGTTCTGATGCAAGCCATTGTTTGAAAAATGTGCTTGGAGGCTGATGTGCTAGAATAGACAGTAATAAAATATATCTGACCCAAAGGCCTGTACTGTTGAAAGCCACTTGCTATTGTTTTATTCTTATTGAGCTGTATTTTAAGATTATAATTATCCAATAACCTTTGATATGCCTGATTATAAGGGATCAACTGTAATTTATACACTTTATATGAGTGATTGCAGTTGGCAGCCGGTGAGAGGACGAAGAGAGGTGCTCTCAAGTGCTGAGTTTTGTGAAATGAAGACTTTGGTGTCCACTAGATACGTCACTGGTGTCAGTGAAAGTATAAAACTATGAATGGCTAACAATTAACAATTAAGTATGGTAAATGGTTCTTTGAAAAAAGCAAGATAACACCACAAACTGGTGCAATGTCTGATTTATAGCAGCATCCTGTCTTTCTTTCGATTAATAGATTAAAGTTGTCATGACTGTCCCAAAGGAATGCTGGGAGTAAAGTGTAAGGCCCTCTTTAAAAATAAAAAAATTAAAAAATTCTCTTTCTACTCGCTGTCATACTAAACCTGTTGCAAACACACATTCTCTTGTGCTATCTTTCAACTTCAAGACTTCAGGTTCAAATCTTTCGTTGTTCAAATGCTCCTCAGACCCTTTGAACATGTGAGAGTGATTTCATGTGTTAAACTGCATAATGCAATTTGTCATGCTTTAGATCCATTTTCAACCCATTTCCTGTTGTACTTCCTTGGGGAATAGGGCAAAAGGGGAGTATTATGTGATGTGAATCTATTCCACTCTAATTGTCTGGTCCAGAGGTTCATAAAAAGAAACCTTGCAACCTTTGGTGGAGGAATGTGTCATTGATGGACTGATTTAAATCAAAACCAAGCAGTTCTTAAAATCAACAAATCTGCTATTCCTTTGTGGACACACATTGCTTTTTTACAGAAAAGATTCCCCACTTCAAACTAAGAACAATTTCTTCTACTATGTCTTTCCAAACCTACATGTGGTGTTCCTTAGTCCTGTGAACCAGAGCTGGAATGTGGAATCCCTCCAGGGCTGTGGTCTGAGGCCCGTCCCATCATCTCCTGACCCCACTCTCTGTGACTGGACTCCTGGAGGCCTCGTCCTGTGGTCTCTATGGGCAGGGCACAGGAAGCAATAGCAGCCAGCAAACAGCAGCAACAGTACACTGACAGAGTCAGGTACACAGAAGATTCCAGCATCACCTTGAGGACGGAAGCAGAGATCTCTTATGTTCACCAAGATCGCATTTTTTAAATCAAAAATACATTAACAACAGTAATATTGCGTAACACTATTAGAATTTAAAATAACCTCTCTATTTTAATATATATAAAAATGTAATTTATTCCTGGATTGGCAAAGCTGAATTTTCAGCAGCCATTACTCCAGTCTTCAGTGTCAAGTCAAGTCACCTTTATTTATATAGCGCTTTATACAATACTGATTGTGTCAAAGCGCTTTACAGTGTTAAACAGGAAAATAGTTTGTCACATGATCCTTCAGAAATCATTCTAATAGGATGATTTGGTGCTCAAGAAACATTTCTTAGTAGTACTGCTGAAAATGGTTGCGCTGCTTAATATTTTAAAGAAACCACAACACATTTTTTCAGGATTCATTGATGAATAGAATGTTCAAAAGAATAATATAGTATAAATAATAGTATCTTAAAGTTTCGTATATGCAAAAATGTGAACTCAAATATGTGGTTTAAGTTGGTTCTAGTATTTTTTTTCTGTGAATTTAAAATAATTTTATGTACAAACTTACTAATGAACCATCATTTCTGAAAACATTTACACACATATGAACAGTTATTGAACAGTTATTGAATGAGACCCCAAAATTATGTTGTCCACATGAGCACCACAGCTCAACATATCAGAGCATTTGCCCAACCTGCCACAGATTCATAGCTGTTGTATTATAGGAAGTGTTTTGACTGTTTTACAAGAAATGTAAGACATTTGAAGTATTAAAAAAGGTATATTGTATCTCCAAATTTCTAAAATATTTGTTGTTGTTCAGTTATTGTGCATTTTTTGTTAAGTTTAGAGTATATTTAGAGTATAACATTATTCTGTATGTCTTTTATAAGTTTCTGGTTATTGTTTCCACACCTGTGCCACAAATGGTGTGATGAGAGCTCCAACCCGAGCCATCCCACTGCTGGTGCCCAAACCCAGTGCCCTCGTTGCTGTGGGATAAACCTGCAAAAGACACCGAGAGAGAGATATTGAGTGATTTATAACCATGATCTTCTCTTTGAACATTGAACTATTACTTAACCACAGGGTGGTTAGTGAATGGACCTACATGACCTACATGGATCCATGTATATTCACTAAAGTTTCTTCAGCATTCCATTATGCTGTAAACACTTTCAAAACCAGTTAAATATCACAGACAAAGATTAATGTAGTTAGCAAAACTGCCTCAGGTTACAATCTTAAGTAACTACAGTATGCAATAAAATGACTTCAATGACATTTACAAAAAGACAACCTACAGACACTATGCGTAATATTCAACCCTTCAATCCTGTATCTGGAGATGAACTCCAGTAGTTCATGAAAAGTAGCATGACAAAGTGGCCTGTTTTATGTTAGGTACACTGTTGCAATGTCTGCCAAGTGGTGGGAGTGAGCCAGGAACTGGACATTCCCAAGGTCAAAATCCTTTTTTAGCACAGTTGTTGCCTTGAGCAAAACATTTAACACTACACTGACAGTCTACAGGCTTTACTCTCCTTTCAATTTATCTGAGTGTCACATTTTCCTGTGTTTCTATTACATATTCCTTTGACAGGGCAAAGAATGATAGAGCTTCCGTTTGAGCCTCACTTCTTCCAAAAAATAAAAATTAAATAACTGAAATGAACTGAAAAGAGTTCTCACCTCAGGAGTGTACACATATGCAGCCTGGAAACCTCCAGCGATGAAAGCCCTCGCAATGAATATAAATACTGTCAAAGAAGTCCTGCAATATAGGGAATGTAGTTATTCACAGTATAGGTCACATATGTGATTAAAACAGGCTTGAATGCCCTGGAAAAATGGCAGTAATAGATGTGCTTTCTGACCTTCCCACACAGGCGTAGAGTGGTACAATGCAGAGAGAGAAGACAAAGAAACACAGTGCCATAGTCTTCCTCCTCCCTAATCGATCAATCGCCCACAGGGTCACCAGCAGGCCTGTGATGCATCAATCAATATGTTCATCACATTTTCTTTTTGCCTGCCATACATTATTTAAAAATGAGATGTTAAAGGAGTAGTTCACCCAAAAAATGAACATTTGCCAAAATGTAGATGAGTTTGTTTCTTCATTTGAACAGATTCAAAGAAATTTAGCATTGCATCACTTGCTCACCAATGGATCCTCTGCAGTGAATGGGTGCCGTCAGAATGAGAGTCCAAACAGTGGATAAAAACAGCACAATAATCCACAAGTAATCCTCACGACTCTCTCAGTCTATCTCAGAATCCTCTGACATTTGTTTAGAATTGTTTTGGACTGTTTTTGCTTGTTAATGGTGTTTGATCTGTGCATATTTCTCTCCTGATTCAGACAAGATTACCTTTTCTCTGGAGAAATCAATTTTATGTATAGAGGACTCATATTGTAGCTGGAAGCAACGGTTTGAAGTTAAAAACGTCCTAAAGATGGCTTTTCACTTCAAAAGACATTAACTGGTGAACTTGAGTCATGTGGATTACTTGTGGATTATTGTGATGCTTTTATCAGCTGTTTCAACTCTCATTCTGATGGCACCCATTTACTGAGGAGGATCCATTGGTGAGCAAGTGATGTAATGCTTTATTTCTCCAAATCTGTTCTGATAAAGAAACAAACTTACCTCCAAACTTAACTACCTTCGAACCCTCTATCTTGGATACCCTGAGAGTGGGTAAATTTTCATTTTTGGATGAACTATTCCTTTAATGGCATTATAATACAAATGTATACCAGGAAACTCAGAAAGTGTGGTCCATAGGAGGTCTTTGTAATCATCTGAATTCAGATATTTGCACTCCAAACTGCAACCTGGCTCCATTTTACTGCCCTTCGCCTCTAGGGGGAGACACAAGACCAATGTATGCACACAGAATACATTGGTTGTGTATGGTTAGCATTCTTCTAGTTTGAAATGATATTAAACACACTGGTTTACATACTGTTTTTAAAAAAATATTAGGCAGCATACAGGTTATACTGTACAGCATATTAAATATGTTGAATAAATGTGGTATTCTATTCTTTACATAGCCCTTATTTTCTCACTATACTCCAGTCTGTTTTTAAACACACACTAGCTTTCACTCACGACCACAGGCGCCTCCCTCCTGGAAAAGCGCAGTGGTCAGCAAAACCACACCATAATATGAGAATGCATTAGAGAACCTGCAACAGAAAGCACACAATAAACAGAATATGAATGAAAGCAGCAAGAACAAAACAATGTGAAATATCAGAGTGAAATTGTGAAACAAAAGAGTGAGATGTGACAAAAATCAAAACAAAACGTCCTTTTAAAGGGGTCATATGATGTGATTTAAATTTTTCCTTTCTCTTTGGAGTGTTACAAGCTCTTGGTGCATAAAGAAGA